ACTAAAATTTAGCTCTGATTCAGAATGCAATAAATTGCTGTTTTTTTTAACAATCAGCTATATTGAAAAATGTATCCTGGTGACTTTGTGCTTCTGAGTTCCTCACTGCATCTCAGAATCTTTGAATTGCTTCTTGTCGCTCTCTTGATTTTAGGAAAACCTGTAAGTGAGAAGCTTGACTTAACATCGTGGCCAAATTCTACTGTGCTTTATTTCCATGCATACAATCTATACAATGATAAACCTGAGGTGCTTGAGTTTTTACCTCCAATAATCACAAGTAGAAAACCACAAATGGACTTTTCATTTTTCCCTTGTAAGAGCTATAAAACCTAAGGTAAGCCCTCCTGCCAAATCGCTTTTATGGGAACCTCACTTTCCTGTTCACTAGTTTTACTTCAATTAATTAAAAGCAGCACTCCTGCCCTTCGCTGTGGTTTCCAAGGTATTCACAGGGGGCACATGCCCCGTCCAAAGTCCTGAGTGAGAGTGAGACTGAATTGGAGGTCCTTGGGGGGGTCCATGCCCCAGGGCTCCTACACCTGGGGATTTGAGCTACAATGTCCATAAAACCCCTTTCTTGAAAAGGGGAGCCTTACAATGCTGAAATGAGCAGGCTGCATAAAATTTAATACAGCGATGAAGATGAGCGTACTCAGTCCTGATTCTTTTCTTTGTTTGTTTGTTTCAAATAGGATTGATCATAGCGATGCCTCTGTAAGGAAAAGGTGAGCTGAATATTTAAATCCACAGAGGCTTTTTTTGTTTGTTTTGGGGTTTTTTTGTAAGGTTTTTTTTTTTTTTTTTGAGAACATATTCCTGTCTGTAAAAGGTCTTTAAGCATTCTGCATTCTCCTTGCTTTCCAATTAAGTTTTCTGGACTTTCTAATGTGGTCCTCTGAGTGCTGGAAAGTAACAGAAACAAGAATGCATTTAATACCTGGCCTGGTGTCTTGGCAGCAAAGCTTAGCACTCCAGTGTGGGAGTAGCAGGTTCAAGACCAACCCCAGGAGTCTTACTACTTGGACTGGCAGAGGGCTAGCGTAATGCACAGACAGTGAGCTCATTCTGCAGGTGGAGTGTTCAGCTGCATTGATCTTACGGCAAACCCAGCCTGCTAAGGTTTTGGAGAAACATTGGCTCTGATCTAAAAGGAAATTGTGCTGCCTTTCCCAGCCTTTCCACAAGTTTAGCTTGCAAGCTCTAATAATATTAAAACGTACGTTAAGCAAGAAGGCTGACGCAGCTATAGAGACACAAAGTAATTTCCTAGAAATAGTAAATACAATAAGCAAAACTCTCTAATCTCTCATTAGGTAATTGTATTTTCATGGGGTCAGCCAGCCTCCCTGGCCAGGTTGAGGTCAATTCTAAAATATGTGTATTATATACATTAGGCATCTGTTAATGAAGCATAAATTTCATCAGCAATCTGGGTGCCAAAATCAACTCATTTGGGTACATGGTCTGCATCTACATTGGTGTCTTATGGATTTGTTCCATAGCTGAAACAGCAAGTTTGTGTAGATGCCATGAATGGCATGTAATAAGGAAAAAAAAAGAAGCAGCACCACAAGCACTTTAGAGGAGCATAAATTCTATTAATTTTTGCTAAATGAAATTCAGAATTCAAAGGGTTGTAAGATGACAGTAAATACAGGGTAAGGAAGAGATCATGTTACCAGACCAACAATACCTGTTCAGTGCTAATAATTATTTCCTTTGACAAAAGGTAAAATAAAAGTACATAAATATGAAGGAAAACCTCCATTTTAGAACACCTTTTCTTGCCTAAAAGGGACTAAGCGGGGGCTTCACTTTAAAAATTCACCAGTATTTTGCTCAGATCCATCACAGGGGCCCTGGTAGAGCAGCAGCAAGATGCCACCCCATCAGCAATTAAGCAACAAGTGTAGGATTCTTCTTCCCAACAAAGGTGAGTCTAGAATTGAGAACAGGTTCAACAACCCTAATACCAAACATGATGATGATGAGATGACAACACTTCCTTTGCAAGGACATACACGAAAATGCTTGTCTGCTTTGGGAGTGAAGTGAAGCTATGTGTTCCCTCTCAACATGTAGGCTGGAATATTGCTTTGTTTTATGTAATCACCACAGGGTCTGAGGATAGCAATGATTTTGGCTGCTTTTTATTGCCCATTAAAGTGGCAGAAGTGTTTCAGAGTAGTAGCCAATATAAAAAAGAATATGAAATAAATTCTTCAGGGTTCAGAAATGGCCCCTTTTCATTCATTAAGTTTCCATAGCTGAGCACGGGATTGGTGTGTGCCTTGGCAGTGAAAAATAACATTTCAGAAAGAGCAAACTTTACCAGTAGCACATACTGGAGCAACACTATAGGCTCCAAGTTGTGCTAAGCCAACTGTAATTTTGACAGCAGAAATGTATCAGTCTCTTTGAACAAATAATCTGAGGAATATATGTAGATCCATGTGAGCTGTTCTCTTAGTTTTGATTCAGTAATTTTCATGCAAAGTAAAGGTGAGATTTTGGTAGGCATTAGCATGAGCAAATTATTGGGAAAAAGAATACACCATGCCAAGAATTGTCCCGCAAGACATTAAATGCCAGTAAGAACTGATGACCAGCAAGTGTGTGTGGGAAAAAGACAATCTCCTAATTCTTCATTCCTCTTCCTTTTCCAGTTGGGGAGAGGATGGGTAAGTAAAGGCAAGTTAGTCCTTCTTACTCCTGTGTATCCAATCTTCAGGGGGCAAGGAACTGAGTAATAGGAATATGGAGAAGGGAAGGATATATCTCTGTGCTTGTATGTGAGTAAGAGAAGGCAGATACAGACTCCTATTGAATCCAAGCTACAGTCTGACACTAGATACCTGTATGTGCATTTTAAACCTCAGTGTTATGCTGCTTAATAAATAAACCTTAAAGTTGAAAATAGATGAATCAAAGTGTAGCATACTCTACCTGTTAGCAAAACTAAATTTTATGTTCCCTCTTCCTCATAAAAAATATTTTTTTCTTGCAAATAAAGGAGTCTTTCTGTTTTCCTAACCTATGAATAGAAAATCTGACTTCAAAGGGCAGTTCTCAATGATCCTGCTAATTGAAATAATGAGATATATCTTGAAGTTGATTTTTAAAGTGTTATGTAGGCATATAGTTACAGAACTCCATGTAGATTTTGTTCATCATTTGAGCAAGACATCCTTTTCATGCTGTCTCAGAAAATATCAATTTAATAAGAAGCTTGATAAGCTCATTTCTTGGTGAAATCCACCTCTCATGGACAGAGATCACTAAATATCCATTTTCTTCAGAGTTTCTTCAATTGTGCCACCTGCTGCCATTAATCATGCCATTTGGTTCACACAGTTTGGTGTCTCAAATGATTAGAAGGTACTACGATGAATGGTGCCATGCAGTAAGAAAAATGTACCCATGGATACTGAAGAGAACTTGGAATACTTTTGGTGGCTTCTGTGTGTATACAGTATAGATCAAAGTACCCAGCAGCTAGATACTCTATTGTGCCTTTGTACATTAGGAGCTATTGCTAATTCTGTAACCACTGAGTTTTTGTGTAGTTCATGTCTGATTAGTCTGAGCTTAGCCTGACTGAGGGTCTCTCTTACACAGCTAAGAGGGAGGTTGACTGCAGGACAAAATGCTAAGAGATAGGAGCCAGTAACAGAGAATAAAGTTTTGGTAAAGAATAACCAGTGGATGAATATGTTACATGGTTTGAGTATAAAACACAACATTTTTGAGACAGAACAATATGTATCAGAACAGGCATATGAAGGTATGACTCTTAAAAGCAGTTAGCATTCACATAAACTGATAGTTCTTCATTAGTGGAAGAGCAAAACATGAAGTCTTCTCTATGTGTGTCCACATCTGCCTGTAAAAGGTAGTGATACCCACCGAAGCCCTTCCATCTACTTCAGCGGGTTTTGGGACACACCAGTAATTGCCCCACTGGAATGACATTACAAGGTACCTTCAGAGAGGCTGATTGTTTCCATTCTGCTGCAGGTAATAGCATTACAGCCTAATGGTTAGGAGGCTTTTTATGCATACTAGTTGAAAAGAAGCAGATCCTGGTCACCTCTGCAAAGGAAAGCAGTGAGACACCTTAGGTTTTTAATACTGTTAGCTTCCAGGTTAAACAGGACTGAATCTCTTTTTTAAAATCTCTGTACTGTTGAAATTAGTGCAAACAGTATCATGAATTTCTTGGGGGGAAAAAAAATCAATGACATATTTCCCCCTTTATCCATCTAGCTCTGGGGAATGTAATGCTGCTGAATACTCTGGCTTTTGTAAGAGATGTAAAACAGAGTCTGTGATCATTTGTGGTCATTAAGGATCACTTTTTTTTTTTTCTTTTTTCATGAATAGAGGTGTTAGTGAAGGTGTTCTGGCCTAATTCCAGCTCCGGTAATTGGATTTTTGAATTTTTTTTTTTTTTTTTTTTACCTACACACATTCCTTCAGCAGTTTAATTTGGCTATGCATGTTGGGCTCAATTCAGTGTTACCCTATTGGTCCCCCTTTTGTCAGCTAGACTGATGCAAACAAACACTAAGTGTTTTCAGTGGTATATCTGGTACCGCCTCTCCAGCAGTAGATGGTAGGGGGATGTTTCTAGGTCGTAGTATTCAGTAGGGACCCAAAAAGTGAATGGGTCAGCTATTAGACAGAGATTGGACTTTGGAGGCTGAGTTATACTTCTCATACGATGATTTTTAGCCCTGTAGTGGCACACAGGAACACTGTCAAGTCAGCTTGTGGCAGGCTGTGTGGTCCTGCACAGTTGGATTTGTAGTGGTGGCTGGTATTGACAAGAGATAATTCTGTCTCTCTGTGTAACCTGGTAAAAGTCTTCCAAAATTTGTCAGAGAGGGGATGAGTACCCTGAAGACAGAAGTACAGTTTTAGATGGGAGAAAGGAAAAAACACATGAGGCTGGGGCGAGAAGCTGAATCAAAATTATACATCCTTTTCTCTGACAGAAATGAGGACATAATGGAAAACAAGGTTGCTGTCTTTCTGCTGCTGTGCCTAACTGAAGTCACAACGGATGATGAAAGGTCAGATACAGTGCAAATGTCTCATTTTTCATTTAGATTTTGAATACTTTCCAGTGTGCTATATGCTTCCAGTTTTGGCCCTTCTACCCTACATTATATAGGGGCTCTTCAGCCAGGCATGAGACAGCCTAGGATGCTTTAACAGCCAGGGGAGAGGTGGCTGAGGTTTGATGAGCTACTAGAAATGGTTTTTTTGGTCTCTCCACAGAGATCAGCAGAGCTAGTATTGGCCCAAGCAACCAAGCTGAGAGATTTCCTCTCAGACATTCCTTGTCCTGTGTAACTCCATGCAGGCCACAGTTTTAAATCCACAGGTAAACCCTTACCTCTACACCGGAAAAAGTCCTTTCACTCATGGAAGAACGATTAGGGATCACCATGTGTTTAACTAGACTGGAAATTCCCTCAGTCCTCCTTGGAGGTTATTTTTAAATAAGGGTGCCAGAGGCTCCCACATTAAAGCATGATCCAAAACCCAGGGTTAAAAGCCTGCAATGAAGACTTTGTCAGGTGTACTGTTATACCTCAGGTGACACCCAGTGCCTCTTGTCCCTGGACTGTGACCATCAGCAGAACTGGAGATCACAGACTGCAGTATTGAGAAGACAGGTATCCGGAACAGACAGAAGTACTACACTTAGGAAAACATGCATATACAGTGCTAATGCATATTCCTACTCTCTTCAGGAATATAAGTGTATTTGCTCCTAGAAAACTTTGCCATAGGCTATCAAGGGTTAAAAAAGCATTCCAAAATCAGCTTCTATTGGACTATTTTGTTTGGCCAATATCTGACATGGGTTGTACTGAGCACGTTTTGCCACCTGGCCAATTTTTTTTCCTGCCAAGCTATTCACTCAGGCTTGTGGTGTGAAAAATAGATGTTTAATAGTCAATGAAGTACCATAGTGGGTAATAGTTTATAAATTTCCATGACTTATTATGCTCAGCCTAAGTGACTGTTTATTAAGTGTATTTAAAGCCCCCCATCTCATTAAGTTACAGTACTGGTGATTCCCTCCTCCCACCACTGCTGTTTTTAATGGAAAATATTCACCCATGTCTTTTGCCTAGGGCATGTGAAACAACTCAGTGGAAAAGAGGCTGCCTGGATAAGAACAGGACATCATCCCTGTTTAGGTACAACGTGTTTATCATTTCTGGAAGTAAACTAAATCTGAAATATGAGATATATATGTTGTGGACCAAAAAAACTGTAGATGTCCTTTGCATAAAATATGGCTGCTGGTATACTACCCCTTTCTGCTTTGGGTTTGCAGTGAATGACACGGTCAGTTTTATCAGTAAAGCATGTCTCATGTAAAAAAATATTAAACCTGCAACTTAATTATTAAATACTGCCTTTATTTTCTTAATGAAATTCCATAGTACTTAAGGGAAATATTACATACTAAGGTTAAATAAATTCTCTGTTAACAAAAAACAGGCCCAGTCTTAACTTTAGGGATCTACTGTTAGCTGTGCAATGGGAAGGTGAGCTTCTGTAGCTGGGAAAGGTTGCTAATTATAAAAGAACATATTTTGTTCCCTTCTATTAACCTATAATAAAAAAGGTCATTGGTTGCTCTTGATAAATTCTGTGAAATCTATCAAAAGAATCCCACTGACATCAATGAGATAAGCATCCTTTTGTCATATATTATATTTTAGTAATGCTATGTAAGTAAAACTCCTGATGTAAATCCATTGAAGCTACTAGGAACAAAATACAGTTAGGTTTAGTCCTCTAGCACTTGGCTTACTGTTTCACACTCTTTACATCCACTTCCTGAAGGTCTCTTCGAAGCTGAAGATAAATATAAGATAATGACAATATGAAAACAGAAAAATTGGTCAGTATTATGATAATGTGAAGAGATGGCTCTAATAAAGGTAAAGGAAGTTGTGCATAAAATCCCCTCTGGTAAAGAGCATCTGAGAATACAGTTTTTCCAAACCAGGATGTTAAACTGACACAGATGTTGCAGAGCAGCCCCTTCCATATCATCTCGGATGCCATGGATGGAAACAACCACAAACATCACCTCAACCTGCAACTGCGACGAGTGGAGCGAGAGGAGGGACACCTGTGCTGCACAGTGAGCAGATCTCTCTTGGCCTGCTCCCAGGTACTTCTATACAGCAGATATAAAAATACGTATCCCCAGTGTTGAAGGAGTTAATGTGACATTGCAAAACGAGCTTTGCTATTTGCTGTTTTGTTTGGCCAATAGCTGACACAAGCACATTTTGCCACCTGGCTAATTTTGTGCTGCCAAGTTATTCATTCAGGCCAGTGGTGTGAAAAAGGAGACATTTAATAGTCAACAGAGCACTATATAGGCTAATAGTTTATGATTTTCCATGACTACTTAGATGCTGTTCAAATTATTCTTGATTGAGCGAATTATTCTTTTTAAAAATCATCCCATTCATTTATTTACTAATGATTCTGTCCCTTCCCTCCCGTACATCATTTTTTTAAATGGGAACAATCAGCCATTTCCATGTTTGAGGGGATTTAGCCAAATGAAAACCAAGAGCATATTACAGTTTAGATTACAACTTTCACAGACCTTTCATCGTGGCATTACAGGTCGAGCAAAATTCCTTTCCGAGCTTTCCAAGGCGCCCTACACAGAGCTGAGGTGGACTGTATAAAAACACTGACATCTCGGTTAAGCAGATGAAAATGTTAACCCTCCCCTCCCGCACCAGATATTTTATTTTTTCACCGGGTTGTTTTTCGGTTGGTCGGGTTTTAAAGCTGCACCAGAGGCCGACCGGCCCTTTGCAGAGGGGACGTGCCAGGGCCGCAGGGGAGGCAGCGCGGCCCCTCAGCCGCCCCTGCGCCCCCGGGGCGGGCTGGGCGCCCGGCGGCTGCGGCGGGGACACAGGCCGGGCCCCAGGGAGCCCCGCACGCCAGCGGGGCCGCGGGGATGAGGCAGGTGGGAGCCGGGGCCCAAAGGCAGCTCGCAGGGCCGGGCCGCCTCCAGCGCTCCCTCGCCCCTCGTTCCCCAGCAGAGGCTCCGCGGCCAAAGCCCTGGGGCGGGGGGGAGCGGGCCGCGGGGCCTCCCGGCCCCTGCCCGGCCCTCCGGGGGAAGTGAAGCGTCCCTGCCTGCCACAGCCCTGTGCTGCCGCCTCTCTCCATGGCTCTGCTTTTATTTTTGTTTTAGTTACCTAGTTGAAAACCCTTCAACCCTTTGCTGACAGGGAATTCTTGGCAAGGCCACCCGAGATTGATGTTGAAGCAGCAAACTTCCTCAGGATAGCCTACCTGTTAATAGATGAAATATTTATCCTTCAAGGTACTGGTATAGGCGCTTACAGGCATGCCAGAGACAGCAGCATTCTTTGGCAGATCTATTTCGTATTTGCTTTTATATGTACTCCCTAACCTGGTGGAAGCACACAGGAAAGGTAATCCTTGCCTTTCATAGCAAACACACTAGCACTGCATGTAAATTGGATTTCCAGACTTTTGCCTACCTTTGTAAAACCAAAGGGTGGAGAGCAGATCAAGCCATCTTGCTCTACAGATGCTTGTGTATTAAGCTATAATTCCAGAAGTTGTCAAAGCAAAATTATGCTCACTTTTTTGAGTTTATCTGATGTCGTATAGTTTAGAAAAACATTGGTGTTAATACTCATTGTATGGCTTCATTGGTTTGATACAGCATAGCAACACGAGTATAGTGAGGTGCTTGTTATGTAGGTCTTCGTGTTGTTTCAAAGTCTTTATTATTATGACAGCAAAGTCTTGTTCATTAAAGTTTCACAATCCATTTTCATTAGGATGAAACTGATTCTGTAAATGAACAGTTGCTCTGAAAAATCAAACCCTTGCAGCTATCACAGGGGAGGTACAAAGTCTGTATTAATTATCAGGAATATGGTGTCGATCGAAGATGTTAATTGCCCTGATGGTTAGTTATTTGGGGAATTGCCATGCATTTCATGCAGGGATAATAAAAATGAATTTTTAAACAAAGAGATCTTAAAATAATATATAATCTGTAGAGAATACCAACATCAAAGGCTTATCTCAAAGCTTTGAATTTTATCTTTGTGGTCCAAAATGTTAAAGATGAACTGAGCAATATTTCAGCTGGTTCAAGTTTGTGAGAGGAAAACAAAACAAGAGTTAATTAACTGTTATTACAAACCTTTTCAACTTTAATTTGACTTTCAAATATTAGCATTTATCTATGAACTATGCTTCTGGGTTTGACAAATTAGCTTTCACAGAACAAGTTTAATTAGGCTTCATTGTGCTTTTATGTCACTTTGCACAGTTCCAGACAATGAATGGATTAACTTACTAAAAGTCATATGTTTAAAAGAATTTGTTGAATGCTAAAAAGGTTGACAAAGTTGCAAAGCTTTACCAGCCTAATGCAGAAAAGATGCATCCTGTTTAGCATGATAACACACATTCTTTGCAGAGAACAGCTGGTGCTGACATACGCAACCCTGCCTGGCTGCTCTCAATACCCCCAGGCTATGTCACCCCCCATACCACCCTGAGAAAGTGTAGGGTGTGTGTTTACTACCAAAGCCTAATACCTGTGAATGACGGGAAGGAGGGAGAGCTACAGGTGCATGCCACATGATTAAGCATGTTAGTTCTTTAGCTGGAATAAAATTATCTCAGTGTGAACTTGTGTTTTATTTTTAGATTATTATTTTTACTAGCGGCATTGGGGATGCTCCATATTTATGCCCGAGAGATCAAAAAGGGGAAGAAAAGTAACTCTGAGACTCTGAAGCAATGTAGCAAGCTGATTTGACTCAACATAGTCCCAGGTGAGACTGGGGAGTGCTGTAAAAAAAGTATAAATAGATCCTGAAGTTTGAGAAATACGTTGTTGCTCTCCCTCACAAAGGGATATGTCACTCTAGGACTCACTAAATACAGATCTGGCATTACAGTAGGTCCTATCTGTGTATAGGACAGCTTAGTTTGTGGCTGGATATTGGACCTTTTCTGGGTCTCTCTGACTTCTGTTCCTTCTCTCTAGCTACACGTGCTTCTCTGCCCTGTAGTGTTAAACCTCTTTTGTCTAGACAAGCTAGCTGGTGCCCAGAGGAGTCAGACCTTGAAGAGACTTAAGAGGTGATGTACTGGAAATTTTGCTTGATAACAGAAAGTCATGGCAGTTTGTTCCATGGAGAAAAAGAACAGAATATTTTTAGGGATCAAAGCAGTGTATCTGACCACAGAACACATTGGTGATGGCTGCATGTAGGGAGGCAGAAGGAAATGCTTTTAGAAACTGAAAATGCTGAAGCAGCAGTGGGTTTATGTGTGCTTACCCATTCCAATTCCCATAGCTATTTCCTGATGGCCAGTGTTATTTAGGTTAACGCCAGGACTGTGCTAACTCATGGCTGGCTGACTGCCTGCAGAGTTGTTCCAGAAGCTGATACTTCACCAGGATTGTCCAGTCAGGCTGCTTATGCTCTGAACATATCCTGTATTTCATGGGCAAGAAAAGCCCATGACATATATGTTGATTTAGTGGCTCAGTGCCAGTTAAGGATTTTTTCCATGCAGCAGCATGGCGGCCTGGGGTTTCCTGGCTAAATGTTGAGGATGTGTCCTGTTATCTTTTGGGTAAAAGTGCTGTTGGACACTGTAGGCTAGCTGAGGAAGCACACTATGTTTGATAGCCAAGAAGAAAGATCGTATGTGAGGAAGTGGCAAAAAAGGATGTTAGGAGGATAAGGAAGACAAAGTAGGGGAGGAGTGTGATGGACAGAGCCAAAGGCAACAAGGAAGCCATTATTAAGCAGCACTGAGAAATAAACAAAACTAGAGACATTACAGAAGGGAGAAAAAGAAGTGACCTGAAAAATACATTGCAGTGCAGTGATAGCAAGCTCAAATGAAACCAAATAAATAAGCAACAAGCATCAGGCTGCCACTTGGCAGCCCACTAGGCAGCCAAGATCAAATATCTCTTAAAGATATCTTTGCTGTAGTGGCCATTTTGTGAAGGGTCCTTTAAATCTAGGAGAGAGAGAGAGGCAGCTTTAGCCCTATCAGCACGCTATAAAGTTGCGCCTTTTCCTCCATTCTAGCTGGCAAATGCCAGTTACTCTGTTTTTCTGTATATCCATTATTGGAATTTTTCAGTAACTTTGCACAATTTATACAAATATATACAACAGAAGTCTAGATGAACTCAAGTGAGGAAGAAATTGGGGGGAATATGCAATATGATTTTATACTTTAAACTCCCATTCCCCATATCAGGATTTATGAGCACTCAAGCAGGATGGGCCCACATTAAAAACCCTTAACTTTATCTTATATTTTCCTAAAATTCTACTCAAAAATATGTAAAATCTAAAAGGTTATGTATATAAGAACAGGCTGGAAAATGGAAAAACAGTTAATGGATTACTTTAAACTATTTGACATAATTTCTATTTCATAAAGTTGAAAAATGTAATGTTTGCAAAATACATTCACTATTTTATAAATCAAGGGTTTTTTTCTTGATTCTCTTATTTTTCCCTTTTGATACTGAATCAGTTAAAATCCATAATGTCTAAACATGCTTGCTTCCAACTTTCATCTGGTTTTCACTTTTTCTTCTCTGCTTCATCTACATTGGGAAACTTATAATAAAAAAAAAATAGAAAAAAGGAGCCCCTTCTTTCCTAAGCCCAAGAAATAAAAAAGATTTCAGTTCCAACATACAAATTTATGTGAAACTAAAAACCTTATTTTGCTAAAGAGCATTTCTCAACAGCTTTGATATGTAAGACTCATACATAGTATTTTAGTCTGAAAACACTGTTTAGTACTGTGTTCATTACTTACCCTGACTGATTCCAATGAGAGATTTCTGAATAAGAGTAGTGTAAAATATTAAGTAAGGGCTTCAGGATTTGGTGTGCTTATGTTAAAGTTCCCAGTGTTGTAAAGGTTTATACATTTGCTTTAAATGTGTGCACTGTAAGTACATCCTTTGAAGTCAGTGGGACAAATCCTCAGTTGATATCAGTTGCTACTCCTCCACTGATTTCAGTGAAGTGGTAACATTTATCGTAGCTGAAGACCTATCCCATAGGGAATAAATG